TTAATACCAGGGTAGCTCCTTCCTCCCTAATTCACCAACCAAAGGGTACAGAACTCTCTAAGGGAAAATTGACAGTATCAGTGGTAAGAGGGGAGGAATTTGAGGTTCTGATATTCAAAAAAAATGTTAATTTGGACCACCAGAAATTGAGGGGTCACTCTTAAATGTTTCTGAAGCAGGAACTAATCTCCTGAATAATAACCTAATTGTGAGATTGGGTTTAAGATGAGTAATAGAAGAAGGACAAATAAAGGTAATGATAGGCCTCATAACAGAGGAGGAGGAAATAGAAATTAGTCCCCTTGTGTGAATTGGGGAAGGCAACAGGGGAGGGTTAAAAATCGCACCCTTACAAATTGAACTAAAACAACCAGAAGTAGTTTGCAAGAAATAATACCCCATTGCTATTGAAGGGAGAAAAGATCCCCAGCCAGTAATAGAAGGATTGATTAAAAATGGACTATTAGAACCTGCATATCACCATGCAATATTCCTTTGTGTCACTTATCTGGGAGGGAGAGTTACTGTGTCTGTTCCCAGACATCTTCCAGCTGCAGGCCTCTCCCGGCAGTTGCTTTTAGCTTCCTTTAGTGTGCCTAAAGGGAAAGGAATGTGCTTAATAAGGCCCAATGTTTTTACTGGGGCCCATAGTGTGAGTGTGAAGTTTGGTGATAACCCAGGTCTCCCCCACTCCCTTTCTGTGCTTAAGCTGTTTATCTGTGATTTACAGCCTGAACTTTCAGGCTGCTCTTTGTTGGAAGAGAAGTGATTTATTTGAACTGCATGAGCTTAGAAAGGAAGCTACCTCAAGGGTTTTAAGGGAAATTATGGAAGGTTTACAAATTAGATGGGATTATCACACCCCTTGGCCTCCTTCTTCTTCTGCAAAGATAGAAAGAATAAATCAAACTCTCAAAAAGCGTATCACCAAACTAATCTTAGAAACTAAAATGCTTTGAACCAAATATCTCCCAATAACACTCTTTAGGATTAGGGCAGGCCCAGGAAAATACTTGGGATGGTCCCCCTATGAGTTATTATATGGGCCCCCATATTTGGGCAGGGCTACAGATCTCCCTACTATGGAAACCAAGGATCAATTTTTAAGAAATTATATACTGGCCATATCCTCCACCCTGTCATCCCTCAGGTTAAAAGGACTTCTGGATCAAAGTCTGCCTCTTAAATTTGTAGTTCACCACTTCCAGCCTGCTGACTTGGTGCTGATTAAGACTTGGAAAGAAGACAAGCTCCACCCAAGCTGGGAAGGTTCCTATCCAGTGCTCCTAACCACTGAGACCGCCTGTGAACAGCTGAATGGGAGTGGACTCACTATACTAGAGTTATGGGACTGGGACAAGAGACCCCGGAAGGGCGGGAAAAAGACCAGTGGAAAGTACACAGGTCACCTGAGGAACCCTTAAAGTTTACTCTGAGAAAAATGTAAAAAGAAAACATGGGCTAGCCCCATGTCTGGAAGTTGATATGGCTGAGATGGGCTACTATGCAAAGAGCAGAAGGTCAGAATGGAAACTGGCAGGACTCCTCCCTACCCAATTATGCTGGTCATTAATGTAACCAAGATGGTAGCATCCCACACTGTAGGATTTGATTCTGCCACGTCTTACCATGTGGGAATTTAGAAAATCAGAGGTGGCTTTCACAGGCAGATAAATATCTTTGCCCTGAACCAGATACAGGTTACATTAGGGCATCACACTGCCCCAGCTGAGATGAGGTATTGTAGACTACCCAACTTCAGGGTTGGACGGTAAACATGGGGTAGGTAACTCCAAACTGGAGACCTTTGAAGAATAAACTACATCTGTCCAAAGAGCCAAGGGCTCCCTGCCAAATAACTGCCATAATTTAGAAGCAATCTTGTACTTACCACCATTGAGAATCCAGCTGTTCTAGACCAAGAACCAAAAGTAGCATCTTGGGTATATGGGTTAGGTGCAGAATCACAGGGAAAGACCCCCTAGGGTGATTTGTTCTCAACTAATCAGGAACTCAGCCTCCCATTTCCCTGGGATTACTCCAAACCCAGACCCTAATAAACACTTTAGTCTACCAAATAATGACCCTAAACAAGTAAAAATAATTAAGGTAAAGGATTTAAGGCAAACCTTAGAAAATGAGACGGGATACAGGGATGTGAATGCCTGGGTCAAATGGGTAAAATTTTTGATACAAGCCCTCAACAAGAGTATCTGCTACAGATGTGCTGCAGGATGACCTCAGGCACAGGTGGTTCTGTTTCCCCTAGGATGGAATACTGATCCTGAAGGAATGCGTTGCTTGTAGGCTCTATACCAGGACAAGGATGCATGGGGAAATGAGACCTGTAAGACTCTGTCATTGCTCTTTCCTGTATTGCATAGGTCAGATCCCAGAGCAATCCCCTCATTCTCTGTAGGGAATATGAACCACTCCTCTTGCCTCTCTAGGCAGTGGGCAGAATTCAATAAGCCCGTGGGCAAACTGTCGACTTGTATCCACATCTTCAGCATCACCGGTGAGTCAAGCAATGGCAATCACTCAGCTCTCCATATACCCCAGGCTGGTGGTATTGTAGGTAAAGCACCAGGAATGATGCTTTAGTAAAATTGGCCATTCCATTCACCCTGGCATTCCACAGGATACCCGAAAATACACATGGCCACCAAAACCAGAGAGATTTGACAAATTCTTTTGATCCTAACATATATGTTGACTTGATTGGAGTCCCTAGGGAATTGCCTAATAAATGTAAGACCCAAAACCAAATAGCTGCTGGGTTGGAGTCAGCGCTATTCTGGTGGTCAACTATTAAGAGTGTGAATTGAATTAACTACATCTATTATAAACAACAGAGATTCAACATCAGTTATACTTGGGATACCCTCAAAGAAGTGGTTAGCCAGTTAGATGCCACCAACCGAGTTGCTTAGGAAAGCAGGCTTGTGCTAAGACATGATACTAGCAGAAAAAATGAGATGTATGTATTATGCTGAGTGGGAAATGCTGTACTTTCATTCCCAATAATACTGCCCCAGATGGGACCATCACAAAAACTTTACAAGGACTGACGACTCTAACCAATGAACTGGCATAAAATGCTGGAATTGATGACCCATTTACCTGTTGGCTAGAAGATTGGTTTGGAAAATGGAAAGGCATGGTAGCTTCAGTCCTTACATCTCTCGTAACTGTGGCAGGAGTCTTAACAGTAGTGAGATGTTGTGCCTCTAACTCCATTCTCTGAGTTTAGATGGGTGAGTGTGTTTCTCATAAGAAGCAGTATTTTCCAATTCATTTCATGAGGCTCGCATAACATTCATGCCAAACCTTAAGCAAGATAATAAATGAAAATTACATGTTAATTTCATTTATGAATGTACATGCAAAAATCCTAAAGAAAATATTAGCACATTTAATTCAACAATTTATAAAAAGTGTCGTATATCATGTGCAATTTTGATTTATCCAGGAATGCAATATTAGTTTAAAATTTAAAAAATTAATGTAATTATCACTTAAGTGATGAGAGTTTAGTCAAGGCAAATCTCAGTAAATGAAAGAAAAAATGCTTTATATGATTTAACACAAATTTAAGAAAAAATATTAACAAAGTACAAGTTTCTTAACCTAATATGGAGCACTTCTATCCCAAATAGATTTTTTTTAAAAAACTAACCAAGCTAATACATGTATATGAAATAGCAAAGGGCCAAAAAGAGCCAATTCCCAAAAAAGAAAAACAAGGTGAGCATATTTGCCCTTGCAGTTACCAAGACTAACCACATAAAAATATATTGTAATCAAAGCAGTACCTTACTGTGAAGGGAAAGACAAACTGACAAACTGAAGAGAAGCAAAAGCAGATCTACATTTATATGCAATAGTGATATTTTACAGAATGGTCATTACAGATTAATAGGAGATGCTGTCAGGACAATTGTTTATGAAAGTCGAAAAGAAAAGAAAGAACAAACTCAGACCTTGCCCCACATCATCACTGATCATCCTTTCCCACATTTACTCTTCTTTCACACGTTAAGTGTCTGTCTTGTGAACAGCAGTACCATCCACCCAGTTACTCAGGCTGTGAACATTGAAGCCCCCTTGCCTCCTTTTATTGCCCCAACATCATATTCTATTAATCTTCAAGTCTGATACATCTACTCTATCCTTCTTTTGACCCATCCTTGACTGCATTAACTCCTTCTAAGACTTCGGGACTCAGTTCTACGACATTTCTGAGTTAGGTTCTCCTCCTGTATGGTTCCATCACACCTGCACCCTGCCATCGTACTCAGACTATTGCAATTGCCAGTCTATATTTAGGTAAGTTTCTGAAGACCTGCTATAAATTATTCGAGGAAGAGTATCTTGTATGGTTCTTTGTTTTATTTTTAGTGCATAACATCATGCCTCAAATATATGGTAAACATTAAAAAATATTTGAAGAATATATGAATCAAGAAATGATTTTATGGATGAATAGATACAAACAATAAAAAAGTAACTGAATTCTACAACTGAAATATTTGAAATGTGTATATGTTCATTATTTTATTCTTTTTTTTTTTTTGCAATATTCTCCAAATACATTCCATTTGCCAAATAGATCTAGTTTAAGGTGGTATTATTTCAGGCTATCTTAAAACCGCTTTTGTCACATGCCTTCTTCACACAGATTAAAGATATTTAACATGTAAGCAAAAATTCTCCAAGTTCATCCAGTTCTATTTTTCTAGAATGATGTTTCTCTCAGAAGGAATGAATCATTCATCTTGCAGCATAACACAAGTTGTTACAGAGATTTTAAAAATAACTTTCTTCTTTATTCAAAAAACATTAATTAGAATTGTCTGGAGCATCTGAGGTACTCCAATACATTTTTGTTGAATGAATCACAGATTAAAGGTATAAACAGAGTGTTTAATATTTTTTAAAATCTAGAAATGACTCTTCTCCTATATTTATTATTACTTTTTTGTTATTTCTTTCTGAAGGAGTTTGATTGGCCAATACAAGGACTGCTAATTCCGAGCAGTCCTCCTATGAAGAAACCCATCTGTAAGACAACAGAGCCATACACCCCTGTGCGACTCAGAGTTTTGCGGAATGGAGACAAGAATAAAAACAGATCCCTTACTATCCTTGGTCCAGACATCTCACCTGGACGGAAAACGCAGTAAGAACAATTTGTTCATACTTATTAAATACACTTTCTAGTTTCTACAGATTTTTGTCTTCTTCATTACGGATGTTTCTCTGTGGGAATTCTGTATTTGTTTAGCAAAAGGGCTCCCATATTGATATTTGAAGATGAAAATAGAGACTAAGATTCATTTCTTTTCTTCATCAGGAATTTAATTTGAACTCTGCTGATTTAGAAGATAATGGATTAGAAATGAGTGGCTCTGATTTTTAAAAGTTCTATTTTTAAAAGTTTTATGATCAATGTATATTTGAATTGGCATTTTTGTTTGAGTTTTAAAAATACGTCTTCAAATACTTGAACTCAACATCCTTCTTAAATATGCTTTTGTAACTCCTTATTTTAGTTAAATTATACACAATTATGTTTAAATCTTTAGAATATTTAATGAACAGATATAGTTCTCAAAAGCATAACTTTATATAATTTATAGTCTTCCTTGGAATAACATTTTAAAAGTTTGTCACCCCAGAAAATCATTTATCGACACTTCTGCTTACCTTATGATTGGAATATAATTTTCCCAACAGCCAATATTTCTCCAACATTGGAGAAAATTCACCTGCTACATTTTCATTTCATTTTATGACACAAGGAATCATAGGTCATTGAAGAGCTCTGATGTAAAGAATGAGTTAACACATTGTTTTTCATATTATTAGCAGTGATATTACCTCTTGACCTTTCTTTTGAGATGTTTAGAATGTTTGAGGCTGCTGATAATAGTTTAATATTACTTTCTTCACATTGATTAAAATATACTTCATACATCGCTGAACAATGAGTAACATTTAGATTGGTTGACCACTGAACTGCCTGTACAGATGATAAAGTAAAAAATTAATCTTCAAAGTAAAGTCAAGCCTGAAATTGAATTCTTTGACGCATACATTTCATAATTAGCTCATTCTGCTAGATGTAAAATGTGAGGGTAATGTCCTTAAAGTAGTGTATGACTTTTCAAAAATAACACCCAAACTTAACACAAAATTTCTGTTCCTTTCTACATTAATTTCTTTTCTTGTTTTGTATCTTTAATTGTGCCTCAAAGTTAAATACAGATGTTCTTATCACATCAATGTTTGAAAATTCGTGGTTCAGTCAGGTAATCCAAACAGATTTTAAGAGATTGAAATGGCAAATGCAGACAGCTGTTCTAGCAGAGAGTGTGTGAAATGCTGTGCTGCCTATATGCTATGCTCATGGAACAGAGTATCCCAGTTCATCAAGTATTCAGGTATTAGAATTACTTTGTTCGCCACATGAATTAATTACTCCCAAATAATTAAAATACACTGACATACACTTAACACTAAAACTCTGCTACATATGGTTTAATCTTTCTCTGCGGATTCAGAAAATATTCTATAAGAGCATCAATAGCATTCCCCCACACACCTCCACCCTACCAGTGGAGCTGGATGTAAATCTGGTTCTCAGAAGTTTTAAATGGAAAGTTTTGGCTTACATTGCAAGGTGGCTGTGTTGCCCAGCTTCGGAGAGCACCATTCACATTGTATTCCCAGCACTTGGAGAGGCCAAGGCAGGAGGACCACTTTAGGCTGGGAGTTCAAGACCAGTCTGGGCAACATAACAAGATCCCATATTTAAAAAAAAAATTAAAAATTAGCCAGGCATGGTGGTGCATGCCAGTGGTCCCAGCTACACATTGTTATCTGTATGAATGGCATCCTAGAGTTGTGCCAGCCAGAAGTCCTGCTGTTCCTTGTATGCCTTTAATAAATACAAGTTACATATCTTTCAGAAGAAATAACTTCCATCGACATATAAGGATATATTACTTGCCTGAACCTGAAACTAACTTTTAAGAAGAAAGAGTGTTGGACTGTTTAGTGTCTTTATAAGCACTGTCATGCTAGACTGATGAAATACAGATATACTATAACCAAATCCTGCTCTAGTAACTTGCTGTCCTTTAGCTATTTAATAATTTACTAGAGATAGTTTTGAGGAGATTTTGTTGTTGTTATTGGTTCTTTCATCTACAAAGCCTAAGGAAAATCAAATAGCATTTGTTCATTACTTAGTCGATTATTACTCTAGTGAATGACAAGAGTTGTCATTTAGTCTTAAGACTGTTGAGTTCATATAAATTAGGACTTTCATAAATGTTCTTGTGACACAGAAAAATTTCATCTCTCAGTAATGTAAGTTAAACAAGGGAAATTTTATAAGTGATATTTAAGGAATTTTAAGAGGAATGGTCCAAGATGAGGCTCTGAAGTAAATTTTATATTTTAGATGATTTCAATATATGTATTACTTATTAGTAAGTTATGATCTCTGAACTCACTCTAACTCCCTAATACAGCTTATAAGTCCTTTTATGACCTATCCCAGTAAATTTCTCTAGCTGTATTTCCTATTGACACTCCCCCTATTCCCACTCTTAAACCACCCACCACCAAGGTCTTCTGAGAATGAGTTTAGACTTCCTTTCCAGATGTTGAGCCTGAATGAGACACTCTGTCCTCTCGGGTTAGTTGTGGCTACTATGTACTCCACTATCCCAGCCCTCAGTCTTCCACCAGTACAGCAACTACCTTTCTATTTCATGATTATCTGCTTATGTTCCATACATGAGATAGAGAACAGGGATGCTTCATTCATAGCAGATGTGCAATCTGCTTGTTACGATCATAGTTCGTTGTGTTCTGATGAATCAAGTACTAAGGTATTAGAGAGTCACTTTGTCAACCACATGATTAAGGTCCCGCATAGGCCTGAAATTAATGACTACTGAATGAATAAATGGTTAGCTATATTTGATCACCATTTGTAATGAAGGAATGATTACAGTGTTTGGTAACTTTATTTCATTTAATAAAATATACAGATTCTAAAAAATGCACAAAACAGTTTTCTAACTTGAGACTTTAAGCAGATATATATTCAAATTAAGCATCTCTTTCTATGATCATCATTATTTTTTGTTTAAAACTTTTAAACTTTGGGTTAATAATAAGATACTATATGAATAAAAAATTACAGGTAAAATGAATGCAATCTCTGAATTTTCTTCAGAGTTGAAAAATTTGTATTTCATAGTGTTCAGCATTATATTTTTAGAAAACATTATTAGAAGAGAAACAAAATAGTGAAATGCATTGTCTTATAAAATTGCTTGTAGTATAAATATTTATGTTATAATGTTATTTTATTTAATATTTAATATGAAATTTAATATTTCATTGTGATTGTTTTTGAAACTGTATTTTTTAAAGAAAGAGATTACTTTAGGGTAAATCATGATAAATTAACTTTATAATTTTTCACATATTAAAGTATGTCAAGAGATAATTGACAATGCATTCTGACATATCAATCAAATCTTGGATCATTTGTTTCAGAAGTGTTAACACTGAAAAGAAAGAGAAAATCTGTGTCACTAAATATTCTGAAACAGAAATGGACCAGATAGAATTTCACCAATTTTTGGAAAGGTAAATATTTAATATCCTGAATGCAAATCTTTTTTCATTTATATACCTGAATGATTGTTTATAACAGATAACATACTACATATATGGTATATGTGATATATATATATACTTAAATATAGTATGTTATATTTGGTTTATATATGCTTGCATTAAAGGTAGGGTAGTTAAATTTTTATATTTTAGCTATTATAAACCAATTTAAATATATATATATATATGTATATATATATATATATAATTGGTTTATAAAAAGTAAAATATTTTATATATATATACCTACCTAAGAAAACAGTTGTTAATATAATGATTCTGGAGTTTCTAATCTGTGAACTATATAAACTATGTGAACCTATGATACTAATGGTAATTAATACTATTTTTTCTGCCAAATATCAAGTTCTAGAAAATTTCCCTAGCTTTCTGAATGACCAATTCTCTAAATATAAATTAATATCATTAAAAATATATTTCACAATTTACAGGACCTTTGGTTTATATTTGCTTAAATTAAGAGTGAGGGAGTTAAATTTTTATATTTTACTTATTATAAACAAATTTTTATAATATGACTGTCCTAGTCTGTTTTGTGTTACTATAAAGAACTACCCAAGGCTGGTTAATTTATAAAGAAAAAAAGGTTTATGTGGTTCATGATTCTGATGGCTGGAAAGTTCAGGATTGGGCATCTGCCTCTGGTGAGGGCTTCAGGCTGCTTCCACTCACGACAAAAGTTGAAGAGGAGCTGGCAAATGCAGAGACCACATGGCAGAGAAGAAGCAAGAGAGAGGGAAGGTACCAGCATCTTTTTAACAATCAGTTCTCAAATAACTGATAGAGTAAGAACTCACTCACCCACAAGGTGGGTCATTAGTCTGTTCATGAGGGATCTTCCATCATGTCTGAAACACTTCCCATTAGTCATCACCTCCACCACTGGAGATCAAATTTCAAAATGAGGTTTGCAGAAGACAAACATCTAAACCCTAGCATTAACATATATCATGTTTATGAAATATGTTGTAATTTTTTCTTTAATCAGTATTTTCCTGCCAAATCAGGAATTAGATCACTACCAAAAGGTTGGAGTACTTGTTATGAATTTTTTTTTTGCCTTGTCCAATATGAGGGGAAAGTTTTATTTAGTTTAAGAAAAATTATGCTATCTTTAGTTATTTAATAATTCACTCTAGACAATTCTGAGGTTCTCTTTGTTGTTGGTTTTTCCATCTATAAAACTAAAGGATGATCTAATAGTATAGTAAATTCCATTTTAGAATAATAATACAGAACTTTTATTGTTGTTGGTACCTTCTACTTTCTATAAAGTTGCTGGCAACATAGAATATTGGAAAGACCATTGGATTAGGAGGCAAAGGAATTATTTTAACCCCAGCCACTAACTAGCTGGAAGACTTTAACAAAGCCCTGCCCTTCTTCACACCTTGTTTTCCTCAACTATTAAATCAACAGGCATCTGTTGTATTTATATTATGTACATCAACCAGTGTTGGAGGCTATCTGCTGGAGGTTTTTTATTATTATTATTTAGAAAAAGGCATTGCTTGCTTTCAAGGAATTCCTAACTAACTTTTGGGGAAGAAAATTTGCTTACTTAAACAATCATACAGCCACATGCAGCAGCATTTAACCATACAGAATTGAAAATGATCAAGGGATCATTTATATATGATATATTTCCTGGTTTATACATAACCAGGAAAGAGAGAGAACATTGTAAGGAGCAGCTGTTGTAGAAGGCCACGTGGGGAGGAAAGAAAATGAGACAGAAATCCAAAGCAAGAAAATAAAGACAAGGAGAAAGCACGTGACCGTAGCTTCTTGAAGGTTTTGTTACTGTTTGGAAAGAACTGGAAGAGTGTGGAAGAGTTTCTGGGGCAGAGTGTCTGGGCAAGTGATTAGCATAATAGCTCCACTGCTGTGGAGCTGTAGCTGACTGTGATCTGGGAGGCATAGCTCCTTTCTTTTCCCCACTGCCCTTTTGTCTCTGGGACACCTTGGGTTATACTGAAATACAGTCCTCAGGAATCAGCTCCACCTGCTTTCCTCATTTGCTCCAGCACTGAGAAAGTAAAGTCAGAGATAAGATGCCTGCAACTCTCTATAAACCCAAGCAGACCTCATGGTTGCCCATCCACTCTGGTGGTGAGAGAAAGAAGACCTTATTTCTAGGGCCTTTGCCTCCACATAACAGAGAAATCCGAGTCTGCATCTTGGTTTCCTTACTTTGTAGATCTAATATCATTCTAAGATGATGCCCTCTCAGGAGACCATATGAGGCAAAAAAAGATCCAGAAAGATGTAGGCTTGAATATCAGCTCTCTCATTTACTGTCGAAGTGACTTTGGCCAAGAAACTTAACCTCCAGGTTCAGTCTCCTCCTCAGTAAAATGGGCTACTCAGAAATGGTGTGAGAATTAAATGAGAGAGTAGATATGAAATGCTTGCAGTGTTTGGTCAATTTTAATAATGTGTTGCTGACTTTTTATATGCCACGCACTTTACAGTATCCATACTCTGTAAAAATCTCTAATGAGGTAAAGGCTACTATAGCCATCTTTTACTGATGGGACAGATGAAGATCTGAGAAGTTAAGTAACTTTTCCAAGGTAATATGGCCAGTGCATGAGAGGTTAGAATTTGAACCCAGGCAGTCTCACTGCAGAGCCCACATTAGATGTGTGTGTGTGTGTGTGTGTGTGTGTGTGTGTGTGTGTGTGTGTGTGTGTTTTCTAACAGAGTCTTGCTTTGTCTCCAGGAGTGCAGTATCCTAATTTCGGCTCACTGAAACCTCCACCTTCCAGGTTCAAGTGATTCCCCTGCCTCAGCTCCTGAGTAGCTGGGACCACAGGCGCATGCCACCACACCTGGCTAATTTTTTGTATTTTAGTATAGATGGGATTTTACCATGTTGGCCAGGATGGTCTCGATCTCCTGACCTCATGATCTGCCTGCCTTGGCCTCCCAAAGTCCTGGGATTACAGGCATGAGCCACTGCGCCCAGCCACCTTACTGGGTATTTAAGAACCAATTCTTATCTTCTTCTCTCCCCATTTATATTGGCCAGTTTGTGAACTAGTTAGAGAAATTAAATATACAGGAAATTGTTTATCCAAATCCTCTCCCACTACTTGGGCAAAACTCAACATTTAATATCAGGGTTTCAAAAAGCAAAAAATGAGGAAGAAAGAGTCCCTAACCACCTATTCCTTCTCTCCTCTCACCCGTTGTCCCGAAACAGAATACTCCATTGGTCCGAACGTTCTCCCAAGGAAAGTGTGACTGGGACAGATAGAATGATGGTAGCTCTTCTCAGGCCACACTAACTGCTTGGATCCCCAAATATATCACTTGGGGGAAAGTAGAACCAATTGAGTTTTTTCTTTTTAAAAAAATTTTCTTGTTTTGCATTTCTGTTGATTTTGTTTTGTATTTCATTTCATTCTGTTGCTTTGTATTTTATTTTCTTCTCCCTTTGGCCTTCTCTTAGATAGCCGCCTCTCACAAGGTTCTGTCTCTCCCCTGCTCCATGTAAAATGGGTCTTTGGGTATCATCCAAACAGAAGCAGGCAAATGTTTAGACTGGCACTCAATTCTCTTGCAGTTACCTCCCACCCCTACCCCGCCAACCTATGTATGGGGGACATGGCCATGGCCATTCCCATTCCTCACTAGTCCATCAGCCTCCAGAGTTGTGATATGAGAAGCAAGGACTTAGTTCTCACTGGTTTATTTCCTTTTTTTTTTTTTTTTTTTTTTGAGATAGAGTCTTGCTCTGTTGCCCAGGCTGCAGTGCAGTGGCACAATCTCGGCTCACGGCATCCTCCGCTACCCGGGTTCAAGTGATTCCCCTGCCTCCGCCTCCTGAGTAGCTGGGACTATAGATGCATGCCACCACACCCAGCTAATCTTTTTGTATTTTAGTAGAGATGGGGTTTCATCATGTTGGTCAGGATGGTCTTAGTCTCCTGACCTGGTGATCTACCTGTCTCAGCCTCCCAAAGTGCTGGGATTACAGGCATGAGCCACCACACCCAGCCACTTTTTTTTTTTTTTTTTTTTTTTTTTTTTTTTTTTTTTGAAACAGGGTCTTACTCTGTTGCTTGGGCTGGAGTACAATAGTATGATCATAGCTCACTGCAGCCTCAACCTTCTACACTCAAGCAATCCTTCTGCCTTAGCCTCCCAAGTAGCTGGGACCACAGGCATACACCACCATGGCTGGCTAATTTTTAATTTTTTTTTTTTTAATATGGGATGTTGCTATGTTTTCCAGGCTAGTCTTGAACTACTAGCCTCAAGTGGTCCTCCTGCCTTGGCCTTCCCAAGTACTGGGATTACAGGTGTGGACCACCATACCCAGCCTGCTTTGTCTACTTCTAAACTACCCTTAGAGAAATGGAGGGCCTAATTATCTGTTTAATTGATTTATTCCAGTGAGGAAATAAAATTTAGAAACATTCTTTAAAAAGCTATGTCTTGCTGATGAGCATAAAGTGAGCTGAAGTTCATTTACTGTGAACAGTGCATTCTAACACAAAACATATTTAGCAAAAATCTTTTACTTCTTCCACAGGCAGGATAATTCCACAGTATTATTTCGGAAATGCTCCATCGGTCTCCTTTTTAACTCTACTTTTCCTCACAATTCCACCTGTTTACATCTCTCCTAAAACTTGCTGTCTAGGGTCCATCCCCTCCAACCTCCAGCCCATTTTCCACCTTTCTGACAGTTAACTTTCTAAGAAGCAGACCTGATAACACTATGTATCTGCTCTAATGCCTTCAGTGGCTTTCTGCTGCTTATGGACTAGAAGGCAGGTTCATCAGTCTAGAATCCTAAGTGCTTTCAGTTGGTTTCTGTTTTCTTTTTCAGTTTCACCTGGACTACACTCTCCTCATGCCCATACACTCAGCTCCAGTCTAGTCATTTTGGATAAACTGCCATTTATCCTTTAATTGATTTATTCCAGTGAGGAAAT